TTTGATAACGCAGCTCCTGATGGAAAATAGCCCTTATCATAAACAAAGGAAAATCCTTATCTCAGTTTATATATTACGCACCTTAGATGGCAACTCTTTCTGCAGTCTTCCAATATGCTTTTGTACCTGAACAAAGGATTTAACCTCTCATTAATGTATACATCTAGGTTTTCCCATACATTGCCCCTCTGAAATCATCTATTCAGTTTAGCTCTATCTCTAGTGCTACTTTTTTATGGTAAAATAAAGACATTGTTTGGACTCCATTCTGTTTTCTTTCTTTGTATCTGCTTCCTTTTGAATTACATTCCAGTATCACAGTAACTTTTGTATTCAGCTTCTTTTTCCCTATCCCTGATCTTTAAAGCTAGAGACAGATAATACAACAGTATCATAAATGTTACTGATAATATGAATTTTACTTTACAGTATAAGCAAAAAAGAAAGTTTCTGCCCCAAGGAGTTTGCAGTGCAAAGCCTGACAATAGAGAGGACAGAGGCATGTGTGAAATAGTTATGAGTGGTCCAGGTTTTAAATAAAATCCAGACAGTACATTTGAGGTTTGACTAGATTCCTTTCTTCTTCTTCATGAATTCCCGAGCAGCGGCACATCAAGGCATTGAGCAAACCATCTAAGATAACAGCAACCTGGGTAGCTCAGGCACTTTTGAAACTCTACGCATGTCTCTCATTCAGTCACTTATCAAGTATTTCCAACTGTTAACATTATTTCTAATAGTATCCCAATAATAACCAGTTCCCTAAAGAATTATCATGTGTTTCTTCTCAACTTTTAGCAGCTGGTCTGCTATCAGTCTCCTATAACATTTCTATTAAGAGTTGATTAGAGAGTCCCACTCCAATTTCTTTGGATATAGTAATGAACTCTTACTTACTAATACTGTGGAAGAATCCATGTAACAGCTGCAGAGCTTTATTAGTAGGATCACATCAATGTAATGTTCCTTTGATAAGTAAAATGTAATGCAATATTTTCTTCCAGGAACTGTACTAAAAAGGAAATTGTAAGCTTTTATCTTTCATTTTGGAATATAAAGATCTAATTGTCCATGCAAGCACAAAAAGGAAATTTACTTTCATCTTGCAAAACTGTTTATATACTTCATTTAAAAAAAGACAATTCTAACACTTTCTTCCATAGTCTTTTTGGGGGGGGGTGGTATTAAAGCTGTTCTTTGAATGGCAGATGCATAAGTGCGCAAGGAGAATGAAGTTCCAAAACTTTCCAAAAATGAAAATTATTTTAATTAAACATTGTTCATATGATTATTTCTCATATGTTTAATAGGTTGAGTAAAGCAAAGATATCTGATCAGAGTGCTGAAATTCAGTCAAAAATCATATTTCAAATAGAGGAGAAATAAGATTATTAAAATGGGAACCTACTATGTAGGCTGAGGTTTAGCCCTCTGATGTGGGAAAAACATGCTGCAGGGGTGCTGAGAGAAAGAAAATTGAACTGTAAATGTCCGCTTCTTGTGAAAGTAATATTTTCTAGGTCATAATGTACTAGGGTTCTGATTTGGCTGTGAGTACTTAGAAACTAAAGCATTATTACTGCAGTAGTAATTACATGTATAACCATGTAGTTTTATGTTCCATTTTCATTTTCATAAGAAAACTGATTAATATTTATTGTTGCTTTTCACAAATTTAAGCTAATTTTTTGAAGGCATAGCTAATAATCACAGAGGCAAGTGACTTTCTTTTGCTGAGTAATAGTTTTAAATAATTGTTTGAACGTTGATGTACTTGTTAGTAAGTAACCCTTGTATTTAATTCTTCTGTGAGTGATAGAGTAACTTCCAAAATGTCAAGTAACTTAATGCTAAATGTTGACAGCAATATTTGTTTGAGAACATTACAATAAAAGTATTTGAATGTTTGAATCTTAATTGATAGAATAGTATACTTTATTTTCTAATTTGCTAAACCATCTCAATATTATCCCTTATTTCCTGCAGCTACTATTTGCTGCTGTTCAGTTTTTTAAAGTGATATAGTTTGCCTTCTTACCTATAGAAATTAACTAATTATAGTAGAAAGGTGCAGCCTTTTTGGCCCAGGGTTACATTTTTAATTTCTAAAGATGTGTTGTAGACCATACTCAAAAAAGTGAGTAGGTTGAGTACAAGAATGAAATTTAATATATGTTAAATTTAATTAAAACTAAATTAGGTTAAACTCCTTGTATATTTCATTGGTTTTCTGTCACACTAAAATTTACAATTAGGCAGTAATCTTTGGAGGGTCTCTAGGGGCCACACACACAAAAAATTGGGGGGACGCTCTTTGCTTCTAGGACTATAGGCTATGTGGTTGGATTGCTGTATGTCAGTAATACCTATGAAATAGCACCAGATAGTTAAGGGAGATGGGTTTACTTAAGGCATAGACCTTACGGTGACTAATCTGAAGAGTTTGGCAAGATTCTTAATGTAAAAATAATGCTAACAATGTTCTTATTTCACTTTCCTTGTTTGTTTGTTTGTTTGTTTGTTTATGTGTGGGAATATACTTGAGAGGTGATCCTTCAGAAAGAATATTAGCATCTTAAGGCAGTCTTTCCATATGGACAAGTATTTTTCATTGGGGAGAAATTAAGTGTTGCCTGAACAGATGTGCTGCCTAGAAAGGACTGGCCTATTGTATATGGCACTTCTAAGCCTGTATTTCCACTCCAAGATCTGAGAATTGTGGGAATCAATTAAAATAGAGAACTTAGCAAGTTAGTCCTTAAACTCTTAATGGCCACTTTTATAGTTTATATATTGGCTAATTCCAGGCCACCACTCACCAAACCTTTATTTAATGCCATGAATAGTTAAGGGTTTCCAGTTTTCCCACATAGAGAATGAGGGGAGTGTAGGAAAAAACATTTGGTCCCAACAGCTTATAGGTATCAGATTTAGGATTGGTCATCATTAATTATATGGATCCAAGGAAAGCAAATGGGCCTCAACCTCTATAAGAGCTTCTTGATGTAAAGATATCACTGCTGTCACCTCATTTTAAAGAAAGTGGTACTAGATTGGAGAGTTGTCTCAAAATGGAAGATGAGAAAATGGAAGTCTTCCCTGCTATACTGATTTTGTATGAAATGAAGGTTCACACTTCAGCCCAGAGACACTATTCAGATGATATATATCTTGCATAATTGAAACAAATATATGTATCTTAAAATGTCAATATATGTTATTGACTGTATCTACTTAGTATGAGATAACCTTTCCTAAACTGGTCCCGCTAGTTGAATTGGATTTCTGTTGGTGATGCTGGTTTGCAAATATTAGGAGTTGCAGTCCATCATATCCAAGAGGCACCAGGCTGGGGAAAGCTGGTTCTAAAATAAACTTCAGATATATTTAGAAATGTTTTTGAAAAAAAAAACTGCAGAACAAATAGTATCAGTTAGACTTCACTTTCACCATTTTTCAACTGTTGGGTCCAATATAAAATATTCCATAAACATATATTTTCTGTTTCTGTGTCTTTGGTGATTTTTTTTTAATACAAACCTTTGTTTTTTTCCTGGTTGAAAATCTGAAATTATCTGCAGCAGCCGACAACTCAAGAAGATACTGGGCTAACTTCTGCAATAAGAAATAGGTTTTCCCGCCCCCAAAGGTCCCCATTTGCACCCTTTCTACAGCCCTTCCCCTAAGCATTCACCATCAGAAAAGTCCTGTGTTCTAATTGTGTGATGATGATGATGATCATCATCATCATGATCATGATGATGATCTTAGATTTGCAGAATGAAGTAGAGAACTCAGATGACGGGCTTCAGAGACAGGCTAACCATATTCAGAGCCCTCCTAGACAGCGGATGCAGCCTTATGTTTATCCTCAGAATTGGAAAATATATTCCCATATTCCCAAATGTCTCTCTGTCCTCAGCCTTGAAACTGAAATAGTAGATAGGGATTCTTTATGGCCTGCACAGCTCCTCCAAATAGGGTGGGTCTGACTACAGTACAGATCCACTAACAATATTGTCAATATGGATTTGAAACATTGCAATTATCAATTTTTTTTAATGGGAAAATAAATGCAATAATCTAGCCCGGTGTTTCTCAGCAACTTCAAGGTATGTAGGGAGTTGAAGTCCATACATTCTGGAAGTTGAAGTCCACACATCTTAAAGTTGCTGAGATTGAGAAACACTAATCTAGACTAATTTGGAGCTTTCCCCAATATTGTTTACTGCTGTCCTTTCCACTAGAAACTTTTTCCTTTATCTTGTTTATTGTTCTCTTTGTGCCCTTGTCTTTACTAGCCCTGACTTCCTCTACAAGTCTTAGGTAGCCACACATTGGGGAAAATAGGTACCTTAACAGCTAACAAAGTGATTGGTTCCATTATTTCTATGGTTCTGGCAGTCACAGCAATAGCAAATAGCTAGTTCCTAGATCTGCTTAGACTCTGAGAGGGAATGTCAGAAATCTATCAAATTTCTGCCTGAAGGTGAGATCAGTACTGCATTTGCAGACAAGTATTTCATTACTCTTTATTGTAAGAGTAAAGAGGGGAAGGTGCAATTTATGAAATGTATTTTTTTCCAGATTTCTTTCCATTGTCATAGAATTCTAAGGATGATGTACCATCTTAAAGAGAAAAGGGGTAGTTTTAGTAATTATTAGACGTAGCAAACCTGCTCTGATAATTCAACCAAAGGAACCACAAATTCCAGTAAATTTATTTTGGAAAAAGTACACTTGCTAATGAAAAATTTCTGGAGCCGTTGCTTTCCCATTTGTGGTTTTAAAAGTGCAGTTTATATAATATTGTATAGCAACATATTATGTTTCAAGCAAGGCTGAACAACGTCGTTTGTTTAGTCATAATCTTTATTCATTGCATGTAATTTTAATACAACACATATGCTTGAATTTTATGTTCTTGCCTTTCTTATTGACTGATTGAAAGATGTGTATTTGTTTTTTCTGCTAACTTCCACAATTCTGTTCCTCTCCAGATCTTTCATGAACCCTTTTTCCTGGATGAAGGTTGCCTCCAATAAGATTTCAAATACGCATTCAAATGTGTATGTACTTGAATGATTGATTCATTTCTAGCAAATTTTAAGCGGGCAGATTGCAATAGTATCCCAGCCATATAACGCATTGGATCAATGCTGATATGTGCATGTTACCTTAACTTCTTAATGCATAGCCCATTCCTACACTAATATTGATATACTTCTTTTCCAAATAGTTGTAGAATGCATATAGTATTTTGTGCTATTGAGGTTTTTCATATTTCTAGTTAAAGCAATCTCTTATATTCTTGTCTTTTTTCCCCACCCTACAATCCAGATTTGCTCCTGAAGAACAGAGTTTTCTGGATTTTCATTATCCGCCCCTCCCTCCATCCTCCAATGTCTCTTTCTATGTTTATGAAAGCAGTGGAAGAAAAAGATGAATAAATTTATTGTATCAACTCAGTGAGATTTGCCTATACCTGGCAAACTACTCTCTTAAGTACTACTGCATTCATATGTAACGTTTTTTATTTTGTGTTGGACTGCCACATTTTTAACAAGTCTTTATATTACAATGTGCACTATAAACCATAGAGCGGCCTTCCTAACATAGTACTGCTGTAGATATTTAAAATTGTGAGTATAAAAACATGCAGCAATTGGCAGTTATTTCCTTCTTTATGGAAAGCATCATTTGGCACTATATGGAGCACTGATTTTTTTTTTTTAATTGTGTATGCTTGCTAATTATTACATTTCTGTTTGTGCTTTTTTCAGCCGTGTATGTTGTATGCCTGCAATCAAAGTCATTTGTCACCTTAAATTTCAGTATATACCAGTATTTAGTTGAATAAGAGCAGACGAATGTAAAGTTGAAGAAAAAAGAAACTGAGCTGCATAAAGTTAATGTACATATCTTTATAACATGTATTTCTAGATTTCAGTGCTAGATTATTAATATTTCTAAATCTGCTCCAACTACAACTGAAGACTTCCAAGCAGAGGAAACCTATGACAAACTTCTCCAATCTGTTATTATCCAAATATGCTACTACTGAAACTCCCAGAAATCCCCAGGCTGGGCCATATCAATCCATTCATAAGAATAAAATTATACAACCTGGATTACCTAAAACAGATATCTCCGAATAAAATGATTGGGGAAATTATTTTGTGAAAGTGTTAGGGTTATGGCAGTTCAAAACGCAGTTTGCTCTGTGAAGTACCTTAAAACACAGCTATGACATGAAAAGATATAACAGCTTTATGGCCATAAATAACCTAATTCTGGACACTTAGAGTTAAAAATAGGCTTAGTTGTTTTTTTTTCATACAATTAGCTTTGTATGATTTTTTAAAAATAAAAACCTATCAAATGGGATCACATAGATATACAGTACATACTTTTGTAAAACTTTGCCCAGGATGGAAAAGTGGATGTTAGTGGTCAATTATTTTTTTTCCAGGGCAAACAGCTTTTACAAGACCCCCAGGTTTTACCTGAATAAATGCAAGAAAAAGGTTAAAAATCCTCCCTCTCACTGTCTTCCCTCGTAGTTACTATTTTTTTTAAAAGTGTGATGTAATAAAATGATTAATTTTTCATTCAATTTATACTACCAGGAGACTTTAATAGCAGTATATTTATGGACTTTAGCCAATAAAAACTGGTTATTCTGTAAAAGGGTTGGCTGAAGACCAATCTGCCAAATCCTTGGTGGCTACCAAATCAAAGTGCAATGCTATAAATGCCAGCACTGTTTCTATAATATAAGTGCTAAAAGAATCAGTGATAGAATATATTCAGCTAGGATGCTACATAGACACATAATTAACAGGTTGTGTTTACAGTTCCTGGGTTGGCAACACTGACTTCAGCAAAAGTGATTTATGCTGAAGATGAGTGCTAAATCTGAATGTAAATGTGGTTAGCCAGTTTTAGTTGTTCAGTTCACATGAAAACAGGGAGGTGGCACAAAGTACAATAATTACAAACATTTTTATAAGCACACAAGGTGGGCATACCTTTGCAGCATCTTCTTTAGAAACTTTTATGGGTGAATTATTGTATTCCATGCCCCCACTGTTTGCATCAAAAGTTCTATGCCCCTTGTTTAGGATCCACTTTGATGTGAGAGAAATGATTATTTCATACAGGTAGTCCTCATTTAGTGACCACAGTTGGGACCAGCAACTCAGTTGTTAAGCAAATCAGTCACTAAGTGAAACCACAACTGTGCTTATGAACTTACTTCAACTTTCCTTTGTTTTACAGACCTGTGAAGGTCATAAATGCAAGGATTGGTCACAAATTACTTTTTCATCACCATTGTAACTGCGAATGGTCACTCTATGAGTCAGTCACTAAATGAGGACTAGCTGTAATTTTAATGCAGAAGTCTGAAGGCCAGTTGGATCTATTTTACTAAGATACTTAATACTCTCTCAAAACTAAAATATTTTTTTTCAGACTAATTTTTGAGTTAAGATGGTATTCTTTGTGTTCTAAGGAAAGAGGTAGTGTTTTGCCAAAACTCTTAAGTTATCCCCATCCCTTTAATCTGTCATTTAGTGTATATTGAAATATGTTGAATTGTCATTATTGAGGACTGCTTGATCCATATTTTCATGTTAAAAATACAAATCTGATGATTCCTTAGTCATATCAGATTAATGAACAAATACACTACTTCAGAGAGAGGTGATAAAGGCAGCAGATGGATTAATATTTTCCCCCTTCTATCACATTAAAAATTCCAGTTCGGTAACAATTTTGATAGGCCTCTAATCAACGTATTTTGGGGTCCACATGCAATCCTAGAGCCTCAGATTATCCATCCCTAGTGTAGGTAATGGCAAAATTACATGCACCTTTCCCTCTCATGCAGAATTCTGTATCCTATTCAATTAAGTTAAAATTTATTTTAATCAGTCTGATTAAAATCAGATTATAATTCTAAATGGGGCAGGTGATAGTGACATACAACTTCAGAAACTGAGACCTTATGTTGTTCCTCATACATTAATTAGCAACCCATTTACCTAGAAAACTCAGTGTCAAGGCGAAGAATTACATTTTCCTCTCCCGAATATGCTAGTTTCTTATATCGTAAAAGGTGTTTTTTCAGGAAAAGCATTCCATCATACATGTCCCTACCTGGAGAATGACAGAAATACAACTGAGAGAGAAGGATATGACTTTGGAACAAATAACTCCTAATACAGAGAAATGTTGCAGAACAGAAAATAATGTGAAGCATTATTGATACCTCCATTCTGACAATCCTAAACCCTGGATCATAATTTAAATTCCAAACAAATGTATAATTCTTATTGGCCTTCAAGACAAATATTTCTGCATGAGAAAATATTTCTCCCATCAGTTCATCACTGTAAGAATCAGAATTGTCAAATGCCAGTTTTGATTAGTAAACGGTGATCACACTCGTTGGTCACTGAATGTGAGCCAGTTACATGTGTATAAAATATGCATAACAGTTGGAGTTATGGAGGTTGTTATTTTGTTGCTTAGTAGCAAATATATTCAGCTGAATATGAAAAGCGAATTCAAAGTTATTAGTGATTCATAAAGGTCAGAAATACCAATAATAATAAAAGATAGTAATAACTAGTTACTATAATGATAGGCTTCATTCCTAATATTTGATCTGAACTTGTCAAATAATCTTAATGTTCTTTCTTTCCTTAATATGTTTAAATATTCTTCTAGGAGATCAGGTTCCATAATAAGCACAATGAATTACTGTATAATTATTTATCTCTCATTCCAATATTTAGGAAAGAAGACTCTTCTATTAAATAAGCCCTTGCATGGAATGCAGTATAAGTCTGTGATTTTTATTGCTTCCCCTCCCCCCCCCCGGAAACTGGCTTACCATTTCCCCACTACTACTGTTAGCCCTTCAAGGTAGTCCAGACAAGAAGCACAAACCATGAGTATTAACACTACCTTTATTGTAAGGTTACAGTAACAGAATCTTTCAAGTCTGAAAGCACTTCTCCCCTCCCTTGCCTTTACTTTCCAGAAAACTAGGGAGGGCCCTTCTGAGATGCTTCCCATGCCCCTTTTCCTTCTGTGGGCTGAGATACCTTTTGCATTACAGTTGTCTAGGCTGTGGCTCTTCCTCCTGTCTCCCAAGGTCATTCCCACATACCATTACAAACTACTGATCTTTAACAACAAGCTATAGTGTCTATTACATAATTGAGATGCTTCAGGATTAAGGATGCAATTGTAGTTGAAAGTGTGACTGCTAGATGGGATTAGAGTGAAATCTAAGTCACTTCTCTTAGCTGAAGTCCCCCTTTCCTGTCTGAAAGCTCTATCTGGTGATCTAAGTCTGCAGGAAGAGAAGGAACAAGGAGGGGTGCAAAGGGGGCCAAGGGAGGAGCAAAGCATGGCATTTCCAAACTCCAGCCGGAATGGAGAAGTGGCCTTAATGCCAACAGAAAGCTAAATCAGGCTGAGAGCAGTCACTATATGGAATCAGACGTACTGGTTTCAACGGGAGTTCCAAAATGAAAAACAACCCCCCTCAATCCTCCCCCATTCTGTTCCGAGAGAGATTAGGATTGTTCACAGATTCCACCAGCCTACTGTATTCTCCTCTCAGCTGCAACTTGACCATTTCAGCTGGTTTAGGACTTGGCTGCTTATCTGCAACTGCATGATGCTACCTTGCTTTTATATTCCTGATGTCATACAGCTCTCTACATTTTACAGAAATTTCAGGTTTATTTCCAGTTTTAATAAGAATTGTATTGGCTGTACTATCTTTAAAATTGGGTAACTTCAATAGAAAAATATATAGTGAATTCTTTCTTAGCTACCTTTAATTCATAAAATAGTTATCATATGAGTAATCGTCTTGCCAACAACTTTCTATCTACTCTAGAAGATAATTAATCTTCAGGAAAACTAACTCAGTTTCTTTGTTCCATATCCACAAAAATTACTCATAAGAGGCAAGTTATAGCTTTGATCTGTTCTTTAAACAGAAAGAAATACAGTAAATTCAGCCAGGACTGCTTTATGGATTTCT